TTTTAATCTCTGCCCTCAGCATTGTAGATTCAGTCTGTAAGGACTGTATCTTTCTTATAAAATAGCCAAACACCAGAAAAGCAACAGATCCCAGGAACAACAAAGTAAGAGGAATATCTGAGACATCCTTCAGAATATCCTCCATAGCGCAATTAAAAAAAACATTTAACTTTTGGATAGTAATATTTTCTGACATTTTCAATCAAAGGAAATTGTACTTGTATGTATGTATGTATGTATTTATTTTCAACCGAAAAGAAAAAATCTTACCTGTAATGACCGTTGCCTGCCAGTAGGAGGTGGGGCGCACCTGAATCCATGTGGCAGTGGTGTTGATTCAGGAAGTAAACTCTAGAATATATACACTCAAATCCAGAGGTTAAATCCACAGATCACAAAAGGTCAGAGAGCTTCTAGTGGCCAATAAACAAGGCAATAAACAAGGCCCTGCTGCTTTGTTCAACCCGATGCAGAGGGTCGTGACACAGCCACTGCGCTGTTGCTAAAGAGGCCTAGTGCTTTGGGCCCCGTGTCCCTGTGCTGGGATTAAGGGTCAAGCTGCTTGCAGCACTCCTAATCAGTTATGGCGGATGGCAGGGGTTTCAAACAGCTTGCTGGAACTTCAAAGGGAGCTTGCGCTGTGAGCTCTTTGACTCACCTTGCAAGGAAAAATTTAAAAATCCGTGCCGAACAGGGCAAAGTAAGCCGGCAGAGACTGTCCGGACCTGTGTTTCCTGGGAGGCCGAGCTGGGGGTGGGGGGATGGGGCAGTTCTTAAACCAAACGCTGGGCGCCAATTATCGGGCAAATCAATCCCACACCAGTTATGTTTTAAGGGGTTATTTATTTTGGGGGGTAATACTTACATACACCATAAACCGTCAGGAAGGGAGCCTAGTCGCTGGAGCAGGAACCGGGAGCAGGAGCCGGGAGCAGGAGCTGGGACCAGGAGCTGGGACCAAGCGCCGGAACCAAGAGGGCCTGATCCGGATCTGTGTCTCTTTTTAAAAGAGAAATATACCACACCCCAGTGGGCTGGTATTTCAGTGGCTATTGGCTGACGGAGCAGAAGTCGCTCCCCGCTGCACTGTGGGCTCGTGCTTCAGCAACTATTGGCTGAGGCAGTGGAAGATACTCCCACAACAACTCAGAATAAAACAATGTTTTCTATGGACTTCTACACATTCCTTAATCCAGTCACATTTGTGTGAAAGATCATCTCAAATACACAAACTGGGAATATTAAGAAGGAGAGGAGTCATTTGCATTGACCCTCAAAGTATTAAACAGGTCATAAAAGAAAACTACCAAAAAAGTCTATGTCAATGTATTTGAAAACATATGAGATGTGCAAACTTTTAGAACATATAGAACATGAACTAAAGAGTGAGTTCATTAGCACTTATGAAATTGAATTTGTCGTTTAAGGCACTCCTAAAACAGATCAGAAGTTAATGCTACACAAGTGTAAGACTGGAAACACTGTATGAGTGAGAAGTCCGGAATGTTTCCTGGTATATTTGGGGAGGCCATCATCATCCTGACACTAGAAAACGCACATCACAAAGGGAGTGAATGTCAGCATCACTCACAGACCCCACCTTAAAAACCTTAATACGTTTGCAAGCAAAACACAGCAATGAATGTAATAATGTGACTGAGGTGGATTGGCCCCTATGCACACAAGGTAAGAACTGGAAAGACTAGAGGCATTTTCTGTGAAGGGCTACAGATTTACTTAAAAACTTGTTAGGTGTTTTATTTATTTATTTTTTCGAGACAGGGTTTCTCTGTGTAACTCTGGCCATCCTGGAACTAGCAGTGTAGATCAGGCTGGTCTTGAACTCACAGAGATCTGCCTGCCTCTGCTTCCCAAGTGCTGGGATTAAAGGCGTGCACCACCACTGATCAAATAAAGACTTGATAGTATTAATAATCACTTGTTGGTAACTGGCAGGAAGATCTTGGAGGTTAACCTGAGATTCCGCCCAAGGCAATGGTACACCCCCCAACTGTAAAACTTTAAGACAATTCTGAGCCCTCTCAGTCTCAGCAGTAATGCCCCCCCCAACCAAGGACCTAACAATTGCCCACACATGTACTGAAATGTTGGGAACTTTCCATCATTTTCCCTGAGTTCTTGTGAATATGCTCCAAATAGAACTGTTATTGACTAGGGGCAAGATAACCCTTAGGTGTTGACTCAGTGACTGATGTTTTGACTTAGGCCCTGGGAAAGGGGCAAAGTGACCCTCAGATGTTTTCCCTTACCTCATCTAATCTGGCAACCACTCTCCAGTCAATTATTGGTAATAGCCCTTTTGAATAAGCCAATCAGAATAGTTAAAGAACAACCCTCAGATACCCCTTCCTTCTGTGGTTTTTCTCTTTAAAAATAGCCTGTACCAGCCATTTGGGGTCTTTCTAGCCTTCCTAATGCTGGAAGACCCTGTCATGACAGAATTTATAAAATCCTCATGCTTTTACATGAGCTGTGGCAATGAGAGACAGTCTCTGGGGCGACTCCTCTTCCTCGGTGACTGGACTGGACTCTAGGATCCAACACAAACATGCCTGCAATTCTAGTATCTGCAAGGCTGAGGCAGGAGCAAGAATTGGAAGCCAGGTTGGATACACAGTGAAATCCTACTTTACAAGAACAAATGTGATTTTAAAAAATGCGAGCTTGTGTGGGTATCCATGCCAGGATGGCCCTGGGCCGTCAGTTCTCTCAGCCTTCCCAAGTATTATGAGAGTCAAACTCAAGTCTCCGGGTTTGTGCAGCCAGAGCCTCTACTCAGTGATTTTTCTTCCAAACTAGCTTCCAACTAAGCCTATAAGCCTGCCTGAGATTTATTTTCCAATAACAAACACCTACATACATGATATATCGGGCACAGATGATTTTTGTCTCCCTTGATAACTTGGTTCTTCCCTGCAAAGTGATTTCTTCACCACTCCTGTCTGTTCAAATGCAACCCAGCCTAAGGTGCATTTCAAAAGACTCTTTCCAACTTTCCTAGTTGTAACCAATCTTGTTCTCAAAAATCTACTGTGGTACGTTGTCTTAAAAGAATATATTGTTTGTGTGGGGCTTGGGTGCAGTGAGAGGGCAGCTCTGGGAATCAGTTTCACCTGGGGTTTGGGAACTCAGGTTGCTAGGTTTTTCCGAGGAATGCTCTACCCTACAAAGCCGTCTCCTTAGTCTAAGATTTTTAAAACTTCTATTTTAACATTTGATCAGTTATCTGGCTTTTCTTCAGATCTTACAAATCTTTTGACTTTTTAAACATTTATTCTAGTTTTGTGTCTTTTTTTTTTTTCTTGGTTTTTTGAGACAGGGTTTCTCTGTAGCTTTGGATCCTGTCCTGGAACTAGCTGTGTAGATCAGGCTGACCTCGAACTCACAGAGATCCGCCTGCCTCTGCTTTCCGAGTGATGGGATTAAAGGTGTTCACCCCACAGCAAGGTCTTGTGTCTTTATTGTTCTATCACCCAGGCTCTAATCACTAAGCTTGTAGACTTTTTTTTTTTGGTATGCCTCAGTAAACATGGCATGCAGTGATGTTTCGTTTGTGTTTTAACAAATAAAGCTTGCTTGAAGATCAATTCTGAGATCATATAACACAAAATGGTCATTCCTTTCTCTGATCATTCTTTATTTATTATTTGTTTATTTATTTACATTTTGACACAAGGTCTCACTTAAGCTTGGAACTTACCAGATAGCCCCGGTAGGCTTCAATTTTACATTTTTCCATCTTGCTGTCTCAGCCTTTCAGCTGTTGGGTTTAAAGGTGAGTCACCACACAGCGCGAGATTCTTAACCAGGCTTCAGGCTGTGCCGCTGTGAATGGATGCCTGGTTGGAGTTAAAAGGGACAACAAAGCCCTCAAGAAGACACACCTAAATGGTAAACTTCAAAGTTAAAATGAAGTCTATGAGTGGTGCATCTCTAAGATCGGCCCGATAGTACACTGGCATCTCTGTGGGTAAGCTTCCTTCCCTGGCCTTCCTTCACTTCGGAGGTCTGGGCAGGGATGCTTACAAAGGAGTCCAGAGTAGAAAGATGTGCTGGGACACTTTGCCTGCTGCGGATCAGAGGTGACCGGCAACGTAAGTGAACACAAGTGAACGCAGGCAAGTGCATGACAACCAAACCACACTGGGACCCTTCCCATTTCCCGGGGTGGGGGAGATGCAGGAGTGAGCGGGTCGGCTGTCCGGACAGAGTCGGGGACACCGAGAGGCCTCCGGGGCCAACTGCATACTCAAGCTGCCAGCCTGCAGGCCTCCGGGCCCGGCGGATTGCCG